CAGTGGCAAATATAAAAGCTGAGTCACATTTTGGGGTGAAGGTTTTTGTAAGGTGCTGCGCGCGCACACACACACACACACACACACACACAAAATTCTACTTCTTCATCTTCACATTCAGATACTACAGGAATGGGGCAGTAGCACACGACCATAAATTTACCTCTGGAGAGCTCTGTAGTAAGTGTCCTTACATGAAAGACAACATACTTCATCTTCCAATAATTACAAAAGATGCAAGAGGAGAGAACTTGGAGGCTGGAGACATAAAAAGCCATGGCTGTAGGTGAAGTTGTTTGCCCAGCATGTTTTAATGATTTATTGTTGATTTTTCATCTCTCAGTACTTACAATGCCTTCTTTCTCTGGGATGTCTAGTGCCAAGATATTTCTTCCCCCATCCCATTTTCACACATACTGAGAGGGATGACTATGCCAATATTTACAAGAGATGCAGCCCTTTCATGTTACTTCCACCATGGTCCAGTAGCTATGTAAGAAGTCTAGCAATAAACAAAAAAGTGGTTGTGTCTCTCATGTTATTGTTATAGTACAAGGGGTCAGGAATCATGCATGTGTTTTCTGGCACATGATCAAGTCTACAGGACTGTTATTGAAAGTTTATTTTCACTGGCTGCTTATACAAGTGACTACAGGTGGCAAAGACCAACGTGCTTGGATCAGCATTTCTGTGGTATACAGAAAGTGACCTGTAAAACTAGCAGAGTAGTAGTAAATCAAAGGTGGCGGAGAGGGAAAGAGGGAAAAGTCAGTTTTTGCTTAGGTATCCAAACATCATAACTGAACGTTAGAGCAGGCTTCAACATTAATTGACACCTCATTTTTAAATCCAAGGATCTTTCTGAAATTCACACAGAACCAGGGTGCTTGTACTACAGTGGTGGGTGTAGTATAAAAACCTAGATATGAACAGAATAAAAATTATTCTCAAGAGTTCTAAAATGTCAGCATGATTTGCATATTTTAGGATCTGCCTAATTTGGCATAAACACAGAAGTTTATAACATAAAAACAGTCAAATTTGACCAGTTTTAACATTCCTTTGTATCTTTAATATCCATATAATTCTACTTCTAAGGTTATTTTTAACCAGTAACAGCAAGACCCAACAATAACAAATCAATGTATGCACACAACTGAAAGGAGAGGGGGGCATTTGGCAAGAAAATGTCTTCCATTTTCAAGTTCTGGATTGGGTTATTACTACACAACAATTGAATAAATCCTCTCTTTTTTTAAAACTTATGAAAAAATTCCTTGATTGTGCTCTTTAAGTTGGAAATCTTGCTACCTTTGTAAGACTTTCTGTGATTCCTTGAGAACAACTTCTGAAAACTTTTTCTTAAGGAATAAGAACTGTGGGCTGTATACGGTCTTCAGTCAGTACATGGAACTCCCTCAGAACTTGCAGTACACTTTACATCACGTATCAAAAGACGTATGTATTTAAAACTGTTAAACTTAGACTGTATATTTGAAAATGAGGATGTGATAATATTAAGGAGGCTGTTCTTCTGATGTATAGGAATTAGATTGAGTTGAAGGGGGAGGAGTGGCAGTACACCACCCAGGTTCCACCTTCAAGGCAAGAGCAGCTGGATGCTTCCTTTAAAATGATCAGTAGTGAAATGGTTAACAGTGTTGATCATTAAGCCGTCATCATTAGGTGTCATGAGAATTAACTGTGTTATTGAGATGAATTGGTTTAGGCCACAATTCTTTAAGGAACAAATGCTCCTATTGCATCAACAAACCCCAACCCTGTGTAAAACTTGAATCAGAATAAGAAAGATAGTCACCCATGATAAAAATGTTAGGTTCTCCCTTTCCATTCCTGGAGTTCCTGTCTCATTTATCCTCCTATCTTTTAGGCTGTTCTCCTATCCCACTCTACGTAGCTGTCAGCTACCACCCACTTTCTGTCCTAATTTTTACACCTGGCTCTCCCTCCCCTCACAATCTCTGACCCTCATGCTCAACCTGCAACTTCCACACTGACATGCCATCTTATCCCTCATCCTCCTTTGACCTTCACCACTGAATTAAATCCTACTCACTAAAATGTCTACTCCCTCAACTTTGCCTTTGGAAAACACTGCTTCTCTGTTCCTTCAACATCAGTGTTCCCACACCTTGACTATCACCTCATCTCCTTTAGCACCCTATGCTACTTTCAGCCCATTGCCATTGACGGCTTATCTGCCATTTTACGTCTCACTCTCTCCTTCATTGACTCAGTTGTCTAATCCCTCCACTCCTTCTTTCCACAGAACAATGTCCCACATGGCTCACCACCACCATTCAATTTCCCTACATCTGTGCCACTGAACATGTCTGGAGAAAGTCTCCTGAGTAACAATGGCTTCCTCAACTATAAGCTTGTTCTCTTTGACTTCCTTGTCAAACAGCACTCTACCTCCCCCCACATCATATCCATGAACCAGCTGCCTGTTCACCACCAGATCCACTCTTAAAATGCTCTCCCTCCTCCAGGTAGAATGTTGCTGGCATTTTCAAAGAGATGACTGACGAGGGCTGATGTGACGTCCCACTTCCTTCTCCTCCTCCCATCACCCTTTATCCCATCACTGATGTTCCTCACCTGCTCTCCTCTCCAATCCCTCCACCTGCTGCATGACACCATCTTCTCCCACCATATGACCTCCCTTGCCCCTACCCTCCCTTGAATTTTCCCTTAATCTCTCATTCTCATCGGGTTCCTTCTCCTCGCAATATAAACACACCACAGTCTCTCCCATATTCAAAAAAATTCCAGGTCCTGCATCTCTCTCTCCCCCCAACTACTTCCCAATCTCCGCCCTACAAGCCTGGCACCTTGGTGCAGAGGGACTGTATAGATGCTCTAGATTGGCTGATTAAGCCATAGCATAAAAACACCTTGTTGCCCAAAAGTTACACACACAAAAGGCATCATGCAAGGTGCCTTTACAAAATACACCGTTTTCTGTGTCAGTGGAAGTCTATGGCCAACAGTTTAACAATAAAGTCACCTTACACTAGTCCAGATCCATGTTTTAACCATTCTTTCCTTACAGAAACTCAAAGCCTGATTCTCTGCTGCCTCTCACCCTGCCTCTCACATCTGTGCAGAGGGAGTGTACAACCCTACCACTTTGATTTAGCAGTGCTTTAACTCCCTTTTGCACAGGTGTAAATGACACCATGTACCTACATGACCATGGTGAATAAGAGCTTGTGCACCAGTTTTTCCACACCCACATTCTCATCACCCTAACGTACATATTTGCACTTATTTGGTATGATGCTGGACTACTAACTCAGTCCTTATTTCATTATTTGTCATCGTAATGTCTAAAAGCCCCAACTGACTCACAGACGCATAGATATTAAGGTCAGAAGGGACCATTATGATCATCTAGTCTGACCTCCAGCACAATGCAGGCCACAGAATCTCACCCACCCACTCCTGCAATAAACCTCTCACCTATGTCTGAGCTACTGAAATCCTCAAATCATCATTTAAAGACTTCAAGGTGCAGATCAGGGTCCTATTGTGCTAGGCACAGGACAGGCCCATAGCAAGAAAACCTCTCTCAAAGACCTTGCGATCTACATAGACAAGACAGACAAAAGGTGGGAGAAAAGACAATTTTCCTCAATTTAAAGATAGAGAATTTAAACACAGAGGCTGGAATTTTCAAAAGAGACTAAGGGATGGAGACAATTAACCTCAATTACTCCCTTAGATGATTACCCAGATTTAAAGTGTGTCTCAGACCCTGAAATCTCACTACTTTTATTTTCCCGAGGTCAGATGGAAAATCTAACAGTACAATGAGTGTGTATGTGGAACATCTCCACCCCACTCTCAGAAAAAAACACCTGCTCTTCTTTAGCCGTCTCCAGGCTTGCAGGTATAACACAGGAAAGCCAGATCAAAGAGACTGTGCAGACAGCCATTCAAAACAATGAATTCTGCAGCCAGGGCAATGAGCCACCAAGGAAAAATAAACAGTGACCTTCAAAGAGCAACACAGGGCTGGGCCAAGAAATATGCAGGCTGAATGGTCCTGGCTCCACCTCTCAGGAGCTCAACGGCAAGAGTCAATTGGCCATGACGTCAGAAGTTCCCACATTAGAAGTTTTTTCCAACCTGAAATATTTAGTCGTATAAGCATAGAACAAGGAGTCAGGCACTCCTGAGTTCTAATTCCATCTCTGACTTATGCTACTCCTGTGGCCTCAACCTCTTTGCTTCAATTTCCTCAACCGTAAAATAGGCTTGAAACAGCATGTCCTTTGAGAGTGCCTGAAGATTAGTAGATATTTGTACAATGTTCTGAAGATGTAATGAGCTAAATAAGTGCTAAATATGATGCGTAAATGCATTTGTTACCAAGTTCTGCCATTACCAAACATTTCACAGGACCTTTGTTTTCTCATGACTGAACTCCTCTGAAGCAACCACAGCAGTAGAGAAGATACAACGTGTAACGATTTGTGTTGTCTAGATGCTTATTGAAATAAGAAACTACATTGCCTTTGAGAGAACTCAAAACTTACATTCTTCAGAAGCCCTCTAAATATGAAGAGGCCAGATAGACATAGCAAAGTAAGAATAGGATAGACATTGTTGACTGGTATTTAAATTCCAATGATATATGAGCAGTTCAAAAAACAAACAAACAAAAACCTTACATTTAATTTGATGGGACAGAGTACCCAGCGAGCCAAATGCTGCATACGTTTGCACCCACAGCACCCCAATGAATTCAAAGCAGTTTTACAGGTGTGACAGCCTAATCTGACCTACCAAGGGCTAGATCCTGCAATGCACAGAGTGCTCTCAACTCTGAATGAAGGTCAGCTGAGACCTGGGGTTGCTCAGCACGTGTAGAGATTGCTTGTCAAACTTGCAGGATGGAATCCAATGGGAACCCAAAGTGAGAGGCTCTCTCAGAAGCCTAAAAAAAAAAAACCCCATAAAAAAAACCTTACCTAAAATTATCTTATTCTTGCTGATGCCATTTTTAACCTCATCATCAATCACGTTTGTAAGCACCCGACACATTGAGTCAATGGTTTCAATGTGTTCTGGGCACTCATTAGATATCTTCCATCTGTCAAACCACACAGTGGAGAGGGCCCCTCTCATAGGTGTATACGGTCTGGGGGAAAAGAAAAGAAAGGTTGATTAAAAATGTCTGAGAACAAAGGCATTCAGTATAACCACGGTAAATAACAGACAATTTGGTGACTGACTGGAAAAGGAGAGGAGGAATCAATTAATTGTGTCTCAATTCTAAATGTGTCTAATTTAAACGTTATTCACCACTAGTTATACAAAGTCTCTTTGTACATCAAGGACTATCCTTAAAGGGTGAGGACATATAGAAAACTGTTTAAAATACAAATGCAAGTTTCAATCAGCACAAGGTCATGGCTATATAGTTTCATATACTAAGTCTTTTAGCTCACAATCCTGCCAACAGATCTGCAGGTGTGACTCCTATTCCTGAGCATACTTCCTGATGAAATAAATGGGAGTAAGGGGTCAATACATTCTGATCTATTGTCTATGGGTTGCAAAATCCTCAGGTCACATATTATGTGTGTGTCTTGGGGGGTTCTGATTTTATATCAGGAATAAGGCTGAGATTTTTTCAAAACCACCTTAGGGATTCAGAGGCGCAATTCCCACTGAAAGTGATGGGAGGCTTTTGTGATTTTTTATTAATCTTCCAGGCACCTATGGAAATTTCAGAGAGAGAGAGAGAGAAAGAAAAAAAGAAAATGAGTGAGTGGTGAGAGATAGTTTATCTTAATAATCCAGATAACTTTATAAATAAGGTTGAAAAACACAATTTTGCTTATCTTGTCAGCGTGCAGGTTGAAATTAGAGATGTAATTACACTTTTCTTTGCAAGACTGTAGTGTCAAATTAGTATCATAAATACCTTACATACACTGTCCAAAACTCAAATAATCAAGGAAGTTGCAATTCAAAGGAGACTTTTTTTATGATGATGAATTGACCCCTAAAATCCCCAGAAAGATGATCTAATTGTCTTACAATGGTAACAATTCAATACCAAACCTACTGCACTGAGGTCACTGTTTCATGTCAAGGGGTCAAAACCAAGACCCCTAAAATCCTTAATTGCTACGTTTAATCAAGAGGCACATTTTTCACTCTAAACTTAAACTCAGAAAAGCTCAGATCAGATTACAATAGTTGCCTACAAACAGACAGCCTTTGATAAATTTGTCTGGCTGGGAACCCACTGAAAATGAAAATGAAGCCTTCAGTCTTTTATCTGGATTTTCTCACTACTAAGGTTTAAACAAAATACCACTAACAATTCCAAAAATGCTTAATGAAGCAGCAAATTCTGCCCTTATTTATACCATGGGGTTTGCACATGTGTGAAGTAGAATTGTCTATTTCTAAACCAGAGAGACTATGACACTCCAGAACCCTAGTTATGCACCAGGACCCCATTTTGCTAGCCACTGTAAACACAGAACAAAAAGACAGTCCTCGACTTAAACAGCTTACAATTTAAGTATAGGCACTTAGACACTAATAGGGTGATAAGTAATAGTCAACATCGATTTGTCAAGAACAAATCATGTCAAATCAACCTACTTTCTTCCTTTGACAAGGTTACTGGCATAGTGCTGTAGACATGATTTATCTTTATTTTAGTAACGCTTTTGACACGGTCACCAGGTGGGGGTGGAGCTTGGGCTTCAGCTTCAGCCCTGGGCCCCAGCAAGTATAATGCTGGCCCTGGTGATCCAATTAAAATGGGGTTGTGATCCACTTTGGGGTCCCGACCCAGTTTGAGAACCGCTAGTCTAGAGAAAAGAAGACTGGGGAGGAGGGGCAGGGATTGATAACAGTCTTCAAATATGTTAAGGGCTGTTCTAAAGAGGACTTTGATCAATTGTCCACTTCCACTTCAGGTAGGACAAGTAATGGGCTCAATTTGCAGCCAGGGATATTTAGGTTAGGTATTAGGAAAAAAACTTTGATTATAAGGATAGCTAAGCACTGAAACAGACTTCCAATGGAGATTGTGGAATCCCTGCCCATGAAAGTTTTAAAGAACAGATAAGACAAACACCTGTCAAGGATGGTCTAGGTTTACTTGGTCCATCCTCAGTGAAGGGGGATGGACAAGATGACTTCTCAAGGTCCCTTCCAGCCCTTATATTTCTATGATTCTATAAGAGAAGAGACTACATTCTCGAATGAATTCCCACAGGAAAATGATAGAAGACAAAGCACCCCATCACCTGGAGGTGAACACTTTTCACAAAGTGATCACTCCATACCTGAGCTCTCAGTCCTCATCCTCAAAGGAAACCTGCACAACATTTTCAAAAGACAAACCTAAGAGCTTAAATTCATAACTCTGCTAGACACCATAGGCTGACTCCGTGGGTGCTCCAGAGCCGGGATGGAGTGGTGGGGTGGGGTGGGGCTGTGACCTTGAGGAAAGGGGTGGAGTGGGGGCAGCGCTGGGGGTCGAGCACCACCTGGCACAACGGAAAGTTGGTGCCAGAGCTAGACACTAAAAATCATGGACTGAATAGGGACACTGGATTTATGGCTTATTACAACAATCTGTCCCACTACTAATCTGTCCTTTTTTGTCCTATGACTGCAGAGGTATTAACAGACCACACCACCTTAAAAGGTTCCTTAGAATATGTACTAACTACCTATGCTAAACAATCTGTTCTACCTTGTATTTCGCTGTGATGCTTGGAGTACCTTTCTCAGACCTGAAGAAGAGCTCTGAGTAGCTCGAAAGCTTGTCTCTCTCCTCAGCACAAGTTGGTCCAATAAAATATATGACCCCACCCACCTTGTCTTTCGGATAGGCAAACAGACAGATGCAGGAATATAACATGTCTATACAACCCAGATCTAGGCACTGATTCAGAAAGCACGTTTGAGTTCCACTGCCTTTAATTTGCTTAATTCAAAGTTAATCATGTATTTAAAGAAATATTGCTATTAAAACACATCACTTATCAGGCCTTAGTTTGGATTCCAAAGGATAAATAGTGATTGTCTATTAAAATAAAGGAAGATCAGCAGACAGTATTCAATACACAGAAGAAGCTCAACTGAAATCTATTTAACAAATTTTGTTCTTTTCTTCTTCCATTAGGGATTTTACCATTGCTATTGATTTTACATGGAAGGCACTCAGATACTATGAGGAGTCGGAGTATAAAACAATTTGGGATAGATATTATCCAAGTACTGGTTACAGGCCCTTTCTCAAAAACCTTGGCATCAGTGCTTATGGTAAGCACTGCTATTGACAGTGGACCAAATGCCAAGAGACTTCAGCTCCTAGAACTAATGGATTAATACATAGGTTGTTGGGGAAAAAAAAAAAACATGTAAAAGTTTTTTAAAAGAACTTTGTCCTATGGTAGCAGGATTGCCCCCGCATTTACATGGAAAAGGTGTGCGTGGATATTGCTGAAATATCCACAACAAATTTAGTGGTATACAGCTTTGCAAGAGAAACTAACAGATACTTAAAAACACAAAATAAAGAAACATAACCACACAACACAGCACCTTTTGTTTGACTTTCCCCTATACTGTTTGTTAGCACAACAAACCTTTCAAAGTTGGAAATATGTCCCCATCCCCTTTGATTCTGTCTCCCTTATTTGGCAAATGATTTAATTTATCAGCTTAGTGGTCCCTTGCTCTCAAGTGGGGAGGGAGACCACTCCGCCTCACTGTGGCAGGAAGCAGCAGGCAGGGCCAAGCAGCTTGTAGCCTCCTAGCAGGGACAAACAACCATTAACTGTCTGAAGCTCTAGCCCCCTTGGGCAGGGCAGTAAGCAGTCTTTAGGCCAGAGTCTCCAGGCTAAGGCTGACACCAATCAAGAGTCTAGGGCAGCAATGAACAGTCTATAAGGGAAGCTCTGGCCTTCTGGGTTGGGCAGAGCAGGGAGCAGGCTTTTGCCTAAGTGGAGTGCCCCACCGATCGGTCCTGGGGCTGGTTTTGAATATCATCTTCATAATGATCTGGATGATGGGATGGACTGCACCCTCAGCAAGTTCACAGATGACACTAAGCTGGGGGGAGAGGTAGATATGCTGGAGGGTAGGGATAGGGTCCAGAGTGACCTAGACAAATTAGAGCACTGGGCCAAAAGAAATCCGATGAGGTTCAACAAGGACAAGTGCAGAGTCCTGCACTTAGGACAGAAGAATCCCATGTACTGCTACAGGCTGGGGACCGACTGGTTAAGCGGCAGTTCTGCAGAAAAGGACCTGGGGATTACAGTGGACGAGAAGCTGGATATGAGTCAACAGTGTGCCCTTGTTGCCAAGAAGGCTAATGGCATATTGGGCTGCATTAGTAGGAGCATTGCCAGCAGATCAAGCGAAGTATTTATTCCCTTCTATTCGGCACTGGTGAGGCCACATCTGAAGTATTGTGTTCAGTTTTTGGGGGCCCCAATACAGAAAGCATTTGGACAAATTGGAGAGAGTGCAGTGGAGGGCAACAAAATGATTAGCGGGCTGGGGCACATGACTTATGAGGAGAGGTTGAGGGAACTGGGCTTATTTAGTCTGCAGAAGAGAAGAGTGAGGGGGGATTTGATAGCAGTCTTCAACTACCTGAAGGGGGGTTCCAAAGAGGATGGAGCTTGGCTGTTCTCAGTGGTGGCAGATGACAAAACAAGGAGCAATGGTCTCAAATTGCATTGGGGAGCTCTAGGTTGGATATTAGGAAAAACTATTTCACTAGGAGGGTGGTGAAGCAGTGGAACGGGTTACCTAGGGAGATGGTGGAATCTCCATCCTTAGAGGTTTTAAAAGTCCAGCTTGACAAAGCTCTGGCCAGGATGATTTAGTTGAGGTTGGTTCTGCTTTGAGCAGGGAGTTGCACTAGATGACCTCCTGTGGTCTCTTCCAATCCTAATCTTCTATGATTCCTGGCTAACGCAGCCAACAAACACAGACTCTAGGCCCCCCAGTCTCTTTGCTGGGGCAAGCCACAAACAAAGCACAGGCCTTCTGGTTTAGGGGTGAATAGACCACAAAACCAAAGGTGGGGTTGGCAGCAGAAGGGTAAGGGGACCTGGGCCCACGCTACTCCACCAGGTCCCAGCTAAGGGCCCTAACAGTGACAAAACTGGAGCAAAGTCTGGTTTCCCTGGGCTCCTTCCTACCCCATTCCAGGTGCTGGGCTCCACAGTCCAAAGGTGCTCCGTCTCCTCAAGGTACAGGGCTGATGGCAGTCCCAACAACTCGTGCCCAGGATGGGTCTCCTGCGGGGGCAGGGAGCTGCACAGCGCAGTTTCAATTCCAGAGTGCCGCAGTGGGCTGGAGACATCTGCCTCCTTCCATGGCTCCCACTCAACTTTATCCTTCCTGCCCCGCCCTGGTACTTCTGGTGAGGGGGGAGAGGTGGGGAGGATTTGGCTCCTCCCACCAGGCAGTGTGTAGTGGTCCCTCGTTCTCAAGTCTGGAGGGAGGTCACTCTGCCTCACTACACTTACTAATCAGGAATTACAGCCTTGTAGCTAAAGAATGAATCAGGAGAATCAGATTCTGCCACAGACAGAATCTGGGTGACCATGGGCAACTCACTGAAGCTCTCTATGCCTTTATCACCCAATCTCTGGAGTTGAGATAATGCCACTTACCTATATCACAGAGGTATTGGCAGGCTAAATTAACTGATCTTTAAAGAAATG